ATTATTTCGTTAGTTTAATCTCAAAATATTGACATAATCTACATGTTAATATAAGACACTCTGTACGAAAAATTTCTTCTTCGCACATTATTTTTGCAAGTTTTAAATACACATTTCGGCATTGTGAACGTGTTTACGCTTGCAGTGTTTCAATAGAAATAATCGAAATATACGCTCACTTTGCTAGTGAGCTGATATTTACCGAGACGGATTTCTTACGCCGACACGATATCTAGTTGTACTGTTGATCGAAGAGTCTTTTTAAATAATTATTACTTTCACTGGTAACCAAACCCATTTTCACCTTATCCTATGACTTCTTAAACATTTTGTCTATAACCCCTTTTTTTTTTTTTTTTTAACGTTGGGAAATGCATTTACGCACGAAGTGTGGGACTCACCGGCGTAATACAGCCAGTACTACCCACTAAAACCCAACAAAACCTTCCCCCGTCTTAATGGGGCGTCGCAGGATCGCTTACGCATTCAACTACGACGCCCCGACGGCAGGTCTGCCGAAGCAGACCACAACAACCATGGGGTTGCTCCACGGTCCACTCTGCTATCAGAGAAGTACCAGGAGCAACCCGCATGGTACACCACCCTCCGAAGAAGGCCACCTCCCACCGCCCACCGAAGCGGGCCACCTCCCTGTGCGTTTCTTGGCTTCGCGAGTACGCTACTGAGCCCCCCCCACCACGACAAGGTGAACGCACGTTGGGGGGGATTGTCTATAACCCCTCTTCTATCTTTATTTTACATTCGTATTATAGATATATTTTATATATATCGTGTTATAGATATAGTTTAAATTTGATCACAGAAAATATCAATATTTTTGTATATTGGTTATCTAATTAATAGAAACATACGCAAACAAAGCTACAAACAATAGAACAATATAAATATGTATTTAATAAAGCGATATGTTTTATATTATTATTATATTTTATTCAAGAAAGACATATTGCATATCATAAATACCGAATGAAATTTTCAGACGCAATCAAGACATACCTCTCTCTATATATAAATTCACCACTCTTATTATGAGTTAAGATATTGACGAGTATCGTTCATTATAGTTTTATTTCTAGCTTTATGAAGCCAATGAGATGAAGAGAACGCAGTGGTCTTACTAAACAAGCAATAAAACGTTCAATGTTTAGGTAAACGAAGCAAAACTCTGAATTTGGTCTAGACGAGTTATTAAAAATTTATTTTTATAGAAATCACTAATGCATCCGAGATCAGATGTTATATTTAGATTTTTTATTTAATATCTAATGAAAACCGATTGGAGCGAAATGGCTTTGAAAAGAACCGCTCGGGGTTGTTTGCAGACATTAATATTCAATAATAACATATTGTTATATATGTTCTTGTTATTCAAATTGACTATTCAGCTAAATTATACTAATAAATTGACATGATTGATTGAAAATGACTGCCTCGGTGGTGTAGCGGCAAGCATGTACGGCTGCACACCTGGAGGTCCTGGGTTCGAGTCCCGGGTCGGGCCAAGTTTGGTTATTGAGTCTTTCTGTATAGTAAGTCTCAGTAACAGCCCGGAGTTGGGAAGTTGGCAGTGTTTCACCCCGTGCCTCGGAGAGCACGTAAAGCCGTCGGTCCTGCGCCTTAACTCTCACCGGTCGTGTCGAGCAGTCGTCCCACCGGAAGTATGAGAGTGACAGGAATAGAGAGTGCACTTATGTCTGCGCGTACACTTGTGCACTATAATATCTCCTGCGCAGTTGGCTAGTCTCAATGAGATTGGCCGCCGTGGCCGGAATCGGTCAGGAGAACATCATCATCATCACTAATAAATTGGCATTGATGACAATAATATATATAAAATAATGTATTTTGGCTATAAATATTGTTTAATTTTGTAATTTTTTTTTGTAATTTTGTGTAAAAAAATTACACAACTAATGCATATATATATATATATATATATATATATATATATATATATATATATATATATGTATTTATGTATATATATATATATATATATATATATACATACATACAGTTTGTTGCAGAAATCAAACACAAATATTTTACAATGTATTTATGTAGTTAGGGTTATAAAAACAACATGGTAAAGTCTGTCTGTCTGTGAACGTAATATATTACGTGTGTTCCATTCAGGACAACTTTTCGAATAATTTCTCTTGAAAATTATATCTTATTCAGTGATCACAATGGAAGGTAAGTATATTTAATAAGCACCTTACGTTATAAATTTCTGTAATTGGAGCATGAATATTATAGTCGGGTAAATGTTTTCTCCCTCCAATTGTACACGTTTCGGGTAATAACTTTGATTTTAACGACCTTATTAAATTAGCCGTTGACTTAATTTTCACGTTTCTATATCAATAAAAATATTTTAAATCTTGATTTACGAAAAGATTTAAAACTTATAATCTGTCAAAAAATCTACGTTTGTTTTATTAAAAAAAAATTGCACTTAATAAGCGCTCTAATAGATGTAAAGTGGAATAATACAATAAAAGAATCTGCTTTGTTAACATTTTAAAAGTACATATGTTTAAAAATAGAGTCATTTTATTTAATTCAGAGAAGATATTATGGTTGAGAAGGATAATTTATATGTCCTTTAAAAGGCTGTGAACTTTATAAGGACTTCAAATTAGGGTTGGGTCTAATTTATATCATGAATATGTCCACATTTATCCCGATTAGGACAGAAAATGTAAGACAGAGGACTTAAATCTAACTAATGACTGTTAGCGACCCTTTACAAAGTTTTTACAAGTACTAACTACAATTAATACGTCGTGTAGGCAATTCGTTAAGTATAATTTATCAAAGATTTTCTTAATTTCAATTCTATATTCTTATTATATTGTTTATTAGCTAATGTGTTTTATTTCAATTTATTTGCAATTAGCAAGTTAGGTTCATCTCTAGGTGATTTTTGTATTTTTAATACTATACATGAGGGAGGGTGGAGAAAAAATTTTTCTAAGCTTGAGGGTAAAATTTGTAGCTTAAAAAAAAATAAAAAAATAATTTTACTCAACATTTTGAGGTGGCCCACTGTACGATCCACTTTTGCTTCAGGAGACACTTCGTCTCCTTCTGATGTCACAATAAAACAACCAGTGATTTGGACCGTCATTTAATATGTTTCTCAATTATCCTTTTAGCTTATTCGAAAGAACCAAACGATAGCGTGATTCAACATACCCCTAACTCCATCTATCAGCAACAAATGTAAACTACGCAAATGACAACATAGATTGTACATTCCGCCCACCATGGACCGAACGGTTCATAAGAAAATTAATCTAACTTAATAATTTGACTAAGTCTAATCCATCGTGGGTGAAAGTGCAAACAATTTAAAAAATATATAACTTATAAAGAGTATTTACACAAAGTTAACAAATAATCAATATAAAGAATTTGAACTTCTACAATATAACTCAACTTAAACAAAACCAACCTTCAACAAACTTAAACGAACAAACCTTAAAAAAAAATTATTTAAAATCTTAAACTAACATTACGTATTGTCTTAGTTTCTCAACTTACTAATTAGGTAACTGGTAAAATACAAATTTTAGAAATAGGTCTTTTGATGATAATGCCTTTGCATTTTAAACTTACAACACGCGTAACATTATCCTGACCAGTGTGTTTGTCAACAATTACGCCGTAAAGCCATCTGGCTGGTGGAAGATTTTCCTCCTTAACTAAAGCTACATCTCCAATTTTAGGCTCAGGAGAATGACGATTCCAACGATAACGGTGTAGAAACTGAGATAAATACTCACTAGACCACCGTCGCCAAAAATACTGCGTCATTCGTTGTACATACTGCCATCTTCGGAGACTAGTTATAGTTGACTTCTCGTAATTGGCCTCTGGAACTAGTAAGAGAGGTTCTCCTACAAGAAAATGTCCGGGTGTCAATGGGTATGGATCCTGTGTGTCATCACTTAAAGTTGTTAATGGCCTTGAATTAAGGCAAGCCTCAATTTGGGAAAGAACTGTACTCATCTCCTCGAACGTCAGAGTTGAGTTCCCGATCGCTCTCTTCAGGTGGTGCTTCGTTGATTTAATTCCTGCCTCCCATAATCCACCAAAGTGTGGAGTATAGGGTGGGATACGATGCCAAGTAGTGCCGTTGCCTGAAAGCCATCTAGCGATTTCAACAGATACACTTGACCTTTCTTCAAGAATTAAATTTTTAATCTCCTTTTCAGCACCTACAAAATTAGAACCATTATCGCTCCATAAATCTGAAACGTGGCCCCGCCTGGCCACCATACGTTTAAATGCGGCTATAAATCCTTCAGAGGTCATATCACTCACAGCTTCAAGATGTATAGCTTTAGTAGCCATACATATAAAGAGGCAAATATAACCTTTAGTAGAGCGATGACCTCTACCCTTTGTGGTTCTTATTGCAATGGGTCCTGCATAATCTACTCCGGTCTGACGAAAAGGTCTGTCAGCTGTCACTCGAGATGCAGGCAACTGGCCCATAATGGGTTGATTAGACGGAGGAGCATAACGAATACATGTGACGCATTTGCGGACATACACCTTGACTAAATTCTTAGCGTCAACAATCCAGTACTTCGTCCTAATAAAACTGAGCATTAGCCGTGGGCCTCCATGAAGAGTCCTTTCGTGTGCATCTGCGATGATGAGTTGTGCTAAATGCGAGTTACGTGGAATCAAAATAGGATGTTTCATGTCGTCACTTAACTCAGCATTCTGCAAACGTCCCCCAACTCGTAACAAACCATTGCTATCTAAAAACGGATTAAGAGACACGAGTTTGCTCTTCTTAGCTACTGATTCAAATTTAATGATACTTTCGATGTCACAAGCAAAGAACTTCTTCTGAAAGTAACTTATACATTTTTCTAACGCCTCTTTCAACTCTAGATTTGTTAGATAAGTAGGAAAAACAGTTTTACGAGAAGAACGTAGCCATTTTAAATAACGCCTCAAATAAGCCACAGTTCTAATGAGTTTTCGAAGTGTTGAGGATCTTGTAAATAATTCTTCATCCAACTCAACACTATCTACAGCATGACAAAGTTTTTTAACTCTTTCTTCCAGTTTGGTATCTTGGCATTCTTCTTGTGGACTGTAATTGATCGTAGCTTCACTTAGCCAAGATGGACCATGTCTCCACAAGCTTAAATTGTCATAATCTTTAACACCCCTTGACGCACAATCAGCTGGGTTATCTTTAGATCTTACGTGTGCCCATTGACTTCGATCTAAAATTGTCAAGATCTCCGATGTGCGATTCGCAACAAAGGTTTTCCATTTACTTGGGTGACTACTAAGCCACGCAAGTACCACAGAAGAGTCTGTCCAAGCGTGAATTTTCTCTTTAGGAATCTCTAATGTCTCTGAAACCTCTAAAATCAGTTTGGCAAGAAGCTGAGCACCGCAGAGCTCCAACCGAGGGATGGAGACTTGTTTAATTGGCGACACCTTTGTCTTCGATGTGACTAAATTCACATTTACTGCATTATTCTTATCTATACTGCGAACGTATATCACTGCAGCATAGGCATGATTTGACGCATCACTGAAACCATGCAGCTCTACTTCCTTATCATCAGCATTTGTGTGAATCCATCGAGGAATGCGGAAATGGTTAAGTTTTGCAAGATCTGACCGGTAAGTAAGCCATTCCTGTAACAAATGAGGTGGTAGTTCGTGGTCCCAATCTATACCCGACATCCAAAGTTTTTGAATAAAAATTTTAGAAGTAATAATAGTTGGGGCTATCCACCCTAAAGGATCAAACAAACGCGAAATATCCGAAATTACTTTCCTCTTTGTTACTGGAAATTCTAACTGCGGTAGTTTAACACTGTATTCAATTTCGTCTGTTGTACTATTCCAGGTAAGTCCTAACACTTTCTGAATAATTTCGGATTCTTTTCCTTCTCCTATTTTTAACCTTGACTCTTTCTCTCCTCTTCCCTTTCCCGCCTTCTCCATAAACTCCTTATTATTGCTTGCCCATTTCTGCAATTCAAATCCTCCCTTACTTAATATGTTACTAATTTCATTTTTTATTTCCAGGCACTCTTCGACAGTTTGGCAGCCCGTCATAAGATCGTCCATATAAAAATCATTTATAATTTTCTCAACAGCAGCGGGATGATTTACACCTTCATCGTAGGCCACTTGCTGCAGGACTCTAACGGCAAGGTAAGGTGCAGACGCAACTCCGAAAGTGACACGTAACATTCTGTAATGTTGTATTGTTCCAGATTCATCGCGCCACAAAATACGCTGAAACTCATCTGCATCCTCCAGCTTCACCTTCACCTGTCGATACATCTTAACGATGTCTGCTACCAAACAAATAGGATGTTTGCGCCATCGCATAACAATATGCCTCAAAGTATTCTGAAGAGATGGACCCACTAACAGATCGTTGTTCAGACTCACACCATTAGTTCCAGAGCAGGAAGCATCAAAGACGACCCTAACCTTAGATGTCACCTTATCATTACGTACTACGGCATGGTGTGGCAAGTACACCACATCTGGTTTATCGCGCTGCCCTTCAGGAACTAACTCCATGTGATTAAGATGTAAGTACTCCTTTATTACTTGTGCATATTGTTCTTTAAATTCTATATTTTTTGATAATCTCTTTTCTAGTTGAAAAAGTCTCCTAGTAGCAATTTCTTTAAAATTACCCTTTTTGCAGATTGGATTGACGTCACGGAAAGGAAGCTTCACAATATATCTTCCGCAATCATCTCTGGTCACGGTATTCTTAAAAATCTCCTCACATTTCTGTTCATCATCAGTAAGCATTTTGTTCTTAAAAGAAACATCCTCTAATTCCCAAAACTTTCTCAACAGATCATTGTCATTGCACTGGGAGTGCATGCTGACAATAATACTATTTTCTTGGCACGACTCCGGACTTTGTTCTTGACATGAATGAATTTGACCAGATAAGATCCATCCCAATTGCGTGTTCTGGGCTACAGGACACCCGGGAGGACCCTTGATAAGACCTTCAACTAAAATCTGACCATACACGTCTGCGCCAAGTAACAAGTCTATTTTATTTGGTAGGTCAAACTTCGGGTCAGCTAACTTTAATCTTGTTAGTTCTGGCCACAACTGAACATTTACTTTCTTTGAGGGAAGAAAAGATGTCAGTTTGCTAAGCACATGGGCTTTGACGACCAAAGTGAATTGAGGATTATGAATTGACCTTAGCTTGATTTCAACTACTGACATAGAAGCTAAAGATTCATTTCCTCCTCCGATTCCGGAAATATGGACCTTGTTGGGAATTTTCTTGAGTCCAAGGGCTTGGACAGCAGACTCCGTGATCAACGAAGCCTGAGAGCCTTGATCCAACAAACATCTATAGACTAAACCAATACTACCTGTTCTTGACTCTACTTCAACAAGAGCTGTAGCCAAGAGGACTTGGCTATAACTATTTGAAAAATAGGTATCTAATTTAGTTATAGTCTCACCTTGTGAAGTGGTTGCTGAAGAAACTACTACACCTTTATCCTTAGATTCGGCATTCTCCGTTCCCTGCATTACATTTGGGGGGTGGAGCAAAGAATGATGCTTCCGTCTACACACTCTACATCTAGTGGATAGGCGGCATGAGTAAACGGAATGATTCGAGCCAAAACAGTTAAAACACAAACGACTGGTCTGGATAAAGCTATGTCGTGTTTCATAATCAGCCTTAGCAAAATCTTTACAATTTATTAATTTATGATTAGCCTTACAAAATTGACAATTTAAATTAGTATTATTAAAACTAGCATTATTTGAACTTTCAACTTGGGCGACATTAATTCCCTTTCTTACATTAGGAGCCTTAGATATAATATGCTTAGTATCCAAAAATTCTAATGACCTAAATTTATGTTCTAGGAACTCCCTAAAAGCTGACAAAGTGGGCAATCCTTCAGTTTCATTTGACTTTAATTCCCATTGTTTTCTGGACTCAGGATCAAGCTTTTGAATCAATATGTAAATAACAATAATATCCCAATTACTAATGTCAACGCCTATGTTCTGTAGCGCGCTTAAACATTCGTTCATATTATCTAATAACTCCTTAATAGCACTCGATGATTCATATTGCAAAGATTTCTGGCTCATGAAACGTCTTAGAATATTATTAGATAAATATTTTTTATTATCATACCGATTAGTTAACTGAGTCCAGCAAACACTATAATTCTTATCAGTAATGGGAACATGTCTTAACAGCTGTTCCGCTTCTCCTGTCAAATGACTCTTGAGATAATGTAGTTTCTGAACATTATCTAATTTAATATTATTATGAATTAATGACGTAAAAAGATCTTTAAAACTTGTCCACTCCGTATACTTACCCGAAAATTTCGGTATAGAAATCTCAGGTAATTTAACAAAATAATTAGATTTATCTTGTATATTTGATAATTTTGAAGTTTCTGCTACAGATTTAACTTTATTATGTAGTTTATTCAAAACATCTTTTAATTCTGTTTTATAATCAAAGTACACATTTTCAGTTTGATCATAAATTGAATTTGTATGATAACTAGAAGTTTCTAATTCGTTCTTACTGACTTCTGTAATTATTTGCCGATGTATGTCACAAAACGATTGCCACTGATTCTCTAACGCCTCTAAACGCGTTTCAACATATGAGACTGAAATACGATCTTTAGGTGATTTCCTAAAGTTGATTTTACCTTTAGAGATAAGCTCCTTATTATTCTCCTGAAGTTTAGTAAATACTTCCATGGCAATCTTTTAATGACACTTGACAATATTATCAAATATTTTTAAAACAGATTAAATTTCAAATTAAAAATAATATAAGTCCACAAACTATTCACTGTTCCGAAATTCACAGAATTTTTTCTAAGTCAATGTAAACAATAAAATTCTCTAAGTGTTTGACAATTTGGGACATAGACAAATTTGGGCATAGGTTCCCCGTCAGTTCACTTTTCTTCGATAATCAGTCTATGTTTATACTAACTATAATTTTAATGTTTTATTCTTCTCTTTGACTTAAGGTCCACTTTAGTTTGGCAAAGTATTAAAGAATAAAGTACTCACGGTTTACCGGCACACTTCACTCACTATTTAAACTATCTTCTCATACTCCTGGTCTGGTCGTGTCGTCATGGGTCTTCTCCGTGACGTCATCAGCTGCTACCTCTCGCTCCCTCCAATACTGCGCTGACGTCACTGCCTTCTTCTTGGCTGAAATCCCTGGCTCCAAGCTCCAGGGTTGACACCATCGATGACAAACCGCCACCACGTCGATGCCGACTTACAAAAAACCCTAACTTCTAGGGGCCCGTAATCCGGCTCGAAGGACCAAATGTACGATCCACTTTTGCTTCAGGAGACACTTCGTCTCCTTCTGATGTCACAATAAAACAACCAGTGATTTGGACCGTCATTTAATATGTTTCTCAATTATCCTTTTAGCTTATTCGAAAGAACCAAACGATAGCGTGATTCAACATACCCCTAACTCCATCTATCAGCAACAAATGTAAACTACGCAAATGACAACATAGATTGTACACCCACTGTTTTTAAAATAAATAAATAATTAAAAAATTTTGTACCGTTCATTTTTTTTTCAAATATTTAAAACACTCATATATTGCAATTTAAAAAAAAAGTAAAATCACTACATTCGTCGATTCTCGATTGCTTTGTTGCTACTAATTGTAAGTTTGAAGTTTATTAAATTACAAATACAAAAGAAAACAATATTAAAAATGTAACAAATAAAACATTGAATTTATTTATTATATTATATTTTCAAGATATTTTATTTACAATCGTCGTCGCTGTAACTAAATTTTCCTTTGTTTTACTTCGCTTACGATTCCGCTCAGCAAATCAAAGAAAACTCGATTTAGACGGTACGTCAACTAGTAACAAATAAACAAAGCAAATGTAGTTTCGTAAAAAAGTGGAAAGGATAGTGTAACATATGCAGCGCAGGTAAAGCCTGTCCTAACGAAGAGCGCGCGTCTCACGAATACATGATTATTTGAATTTTTAGTTCGGTTTTTGTGGACTTTTACGATAAGTAGATGTTAGCCTTCACGTTTAGTATAAAATTTACGAACGTTTTATTTAAATTTTTATTTGTAGATGCAGACGTAAATTCATATTAATTCCAATGCGGTGTAGACAAAGGAATTGAAGGAATTTAGCTATGATTTTCGCAAAAGTGGTTTTCAACGCTGATTTAGTAAAAAAAATACTAAATAGTTGCTTTCTATTGTAATATATATATTTTATGGGACTAAGGGGGCAAACGGGCAGGAGGCTCACCTGATGGAAAGTGATCACCGCCGCCCATGGACATCTGGGACACCGCAGGGCTTGCAGATGCGTTGCCGGCCTTTAAGGAATGAATACGATCTCTTCTTGAAGGTGGCCAGGTCGTAGCGGTTCGGAAAGGCCGCCGGCGATAGCTGGTTCCACAGAGTGGTTGTGCGGGGCAGAAAACGCCTTAAAAATCGCACTGTTCTGGAACGCTGGACATCGAGGTGGTGTGGATGGAATTTAATATTTTGGCGCGATGTCCGATGATGAAATTCAGCAGCCGGGATCAATCGGGTTAAATTGGACTCAGTTTAGTCGACCCCAATCCGAGACTTTGGTTAATAAAGATTCGACTTCAGACACAAGTTTGTTCCGGCTTTCGTCGACGTATTCCAGAGAAATATTAGCGCGGCCAGTGTACAGGGCATCCACAGTGCTATCGTCTGCATAGCAATGTATGTTGCTGATTTGCAACATATCATTGATATGCAGAAGAAACAGAGTAGGAGACAGTACGCAGCCTTGTGGAACACCAGCATTGACATATTTAGGATCAGAGCAAGCACCGTCGACAACGACCTTGATGCTCCGATCTGCCAAAAGCTGGTGATCCAGTTGCAAAATTTCTCAGGGAGCCCATAGGAAGGTAATATATTAATTATAGTTTAAAATATTTGTAATATAACAGGACTTTACGGTCCATAGCTAGCAGTTTTCTCTGTATGCTTAGACGAAGCAAGCTAACTAAGCTATAAGATTCAAGGATTATAATAAATGTAAACAACATTTTAAGTCTCAATGTCAAGCTTGAAATAAATTGTAATTTTCTGTAAAATTTTGTCACAGGCAATCACGTGCAGGGTGGCGTTTTTATGTGAAAAGTGAAAACCAATTTGATGTTGGCGTCGTCCATGATCGTTTCAAACAAATTTTCGTGTCAAATACAATGTTCAATATTTACAATGACGTTGAGGAAACTCAGTTTGACTTTATGAAATGTTTTTTTTTGGTACATTATATTATATTGAAAATAAAAACTTTTTAACAAAAAAATAAAAACCGACTTCAAACAAAAACACTAATAACAAAAAAATAAAAACCGACTTCAAACAAAAGCACTAAAAATTAAAAAATTACTGATTGGTAGTTTTCATTTACTATACATACCTAATCAAATATTTTCGAAGTCGGTGTGCTTTGCTTTGTATGGGCTGGCACCGATTTCGAAAATATTTGATTAGGTATGTATTTAATAGGTAGGCTTTTATTACTTAGCCAAAGCACACCGACTTTGAAAATATTTGATTAGGTATGTATAGTAAATGAAAACTACCAATCAGTAATTTTTTAATTTTTAGTGCTTTTGTTTGAAGTCGGTTTTAATTTTTTTGTTAAAAAGTTTTTATTTTTCCCTTTTAAGTGTAGACAGTAGTAGCAAAGTAAGAATTCTAACGTGTTAGGCTTGTCGAATCAAACAAAATTAGCCCAAACTCAAAGTATCTACTATTAGCCGTTGAAGAGTTCCACCTATCCACCTTCTGGCTTTACCATCAGATCAGGTCAACAATACCGAACCACTGTACTATCAACGGAAATAGAAAAACTTGCAAAGTTTCAAGTCAGTATGACAATTAGAAGTAGGTTAAATCCATCATTAGCTATTTTTCCACCCTTAGGGGTGGTATTTTTTTTTGAAATTTAAATGGCATCAATCTGGAAGTATACCCTTTCAAACAAAACAAAAATTGTCCAAATCGGTTAATAAATGACGAAGTTCTGAGGTAACAAACATAAAAAAAAAAAAAAACAAAAAAAAATACAGTCGAATTGAGAACCTCCTCCTTTTTGAAGTCGGTTGAAAATATCTATAGAAAGAGTTTTAACCAAATTCTAACGTAAATTATCAAACAATATATTTTTTTCTTAATGCTTAAATTTATAGCTTTAGCGGTCTAACTTCAATCATATCTTAAAAATGACACAATGACGGTAGATGTTTTTAGTAAATTAAACAAGTACCGACGCTGATGTATCTCATTTGTTTACATTGTATAACATGTATATTTTTAGTATTATGTTACATTTAATTTATTAACAATAAATAAATTGTGTAATAGGAAGAGGCTAGAGTCTGAGATATTGGCTCGGCCTAGTTCAGACGTTAGTATACCTAAACAAAGATTGTGCTAATTATATGGTTAAAAAAAAAGTCTTGTAACCCTTTTGTATTTACG